AAAACGGTTGTTAACATTTTCACAGTTTCTTATTACATTGTATTCCTATATAGTAGTTGCAAAGTTGTTCTGCATATTTCTATATAGCAGTTATATTTTATTTCTATATCAGACTTCAACTTTCATTCACACTACATTGTTACATTTTGTTTTGGTTCTGACTAATACGAGTGTTGAGTAGTTTGTTTCGGTTTGATATTTGTTTCCTTTTATTTTGATGCAAGTTGAGCATATAGTTTTTTGCTTTGATTCAATGCTGAATATGTCCAATGCCATGCCATGTAGAAATTTGTTAAAGAGTTAACAAAGTTATAGAAGTTCTATTAATGTTAGTTGTTAGGATGCAATTAAATTGAATTAGAGGTTAGTGAAGTATTAGTTGTGAAAATGGAATATTGTTGTTGTTAGTGTTGTTGTTAGTGTTGTTGTTGATGTTAAAATGGAATATTGTTGTTGTTAGTGTTGTTGTTGATGTTAAAATGGAATATTGTTGTTGTTAGTGTTGTTGAATTAAAGTAAATGAATTATTGTTGTTGATGTTATTGATGTTATTGTTGTTGACGAAAGTAAATAAATTATTTATGTATATATTTCTTATTTACATATTTGTCATTCATTTGCTAATTTGGTTTTTCTGAATTACAGGTATTATGGCCACAAACGAGGAAAAATCACATGATGGAAATGAAACAACAAAAGACGTGGAAGGCGATATTAAAAGAGAAATAACGATTATGAAAAAAATCATCCGTTCCAGAGATAAAGGTGTAAAGTATGATGTGCATTGGAATCAAAGAGATCAATTAATTGAGCCTAACGGTGCGATGTTGACAAGTTACATTGGAGCACTTGTTTGTTCGCAAATTCCAATTACTTGCGATAATTGGAGAATTCCTTCGTTACAACCGGCTAAAACAAAATTTGGAGCGAGATACATGTATGATATTTGATATTTTTTTTAATTATAAAGACGATTACATCTTTAAATTAATTATACTAACATGTTATATGTATGTTTATTTGTTCGCAAATATCTTTTAATATTGATGATTGCGGGAGAAAATATTGTCTTCAATTGGCCAGAAAACGACTGAGAGGATTTAGAGCATTTTTAACGAACAAGCTTCTTAAAGATTCTGATGGAAACTTTGTCGAATCAGAGCGTCCAACGAAGTACACTGATCTGATTTCAGATGAAGAATGGGAGACATTTGTTGCCAAGCGAAGAACCAAAGAATTTTGCGTAAGTACAACTTATCATGAACAATGTATAATATATATACTTCTTCCACAAGAGTTCTGATATGACTTAAACTTGTTTTTTCAGGTTAAATCAGAAACGGGCATCAAAACCCGTGTATCCATACAAAAAAGGGAGTTTGGGATATGCACGCTTACAACAAAAAATAGTAAGTATATATAAATGCTTTAATATTATATAGTTACAAAAAATAGTAAGTATATATAATGGGGTATGAATGCTTTATTATTCGTCTTAATGTGTAGTTAGAAGAGGAGAAAAGTGATGCAACATCTCTTCCGGACCATGTTGTGTGGAAGGCTGCCCGTGTGGGAAGAGATGGAGTCGTTCAGGAAGAAGTTCAACAAGTATTTGAACAATGTGTAAGTACAACATTAGTTTTGTCAGTAACTCAAAAGTGTATAATATATTTATATATGCTTTTATCTATATTTCAGGAGACTCTATCCCAGACTATAACTGCAGCTGAGGACGATGATTACAGGAGCTTACTAAGTCGAGTGTTAAATATTCCTGAGTATTCTGGGCATGTGAGGGGTAAGGGATTTGGTGTCACTCCATCAAAACTTTATAAGCAGCCAAAGAATAAAAATCCTAGCAATAAAGAAGTGATAGAGACGTTGGAGGAATTGAAAGCTCAGATTCGTGAATTACAGAAGGACAAAGAGAGATACATGTCAGAAAGACGCGATCCAGAGTGTAAATATACTAGCGACAAAAATAGTATCAATTGTCCGCAGAAGCTTCCAGAGGTAATTGTATCTATTATATTGAAATTAATATAGCACAATTTTCTTAATTGACACATTAATCATATTCATTATTTGTTTAGGGTATTTCACCTTGTCGACTATATTTATCGTCATCGACTTATCGCATGGTTGGCAAGGAAAAAGTGCATAACACTTTGAGAGACCTACTTCACCATAAACCGCTCCCTGCTAGATTTTTAAAAGTATCGGTTGATATTGCGTTAGAGGGGGGTGCGTTGTTGCCTATACCAGATGATGTTTCAGACGCAATAGTGGTAGGAGATGCAATAGGGTCGTATGTTGCATGGTCGGCCAATCTCATTTTCATAGATGATGAGGTAGGTTGAACACCATTATGAAGTATTCAAATGTTTTATGACCCATACATGAAAGTTATTCTTACATTTACATTTACTTATTTATATGATGATCTTAGACTCCTACAAAATCCAAATCAAAAGATAAAGGAATTATTGTGCGGCAAATCGATTCAGCTGCATAAAAAAAACAGGTACTATTGCAGTTACATGATGATCTTATTATACATTAATTACTGAACTTATATGACTTTTAGGTTCATGATCAACAGTTGCAACAAGTCAGCAAGGGTAAGATGTCTGAATCTAGCAAGGTTACCAACAAAAAAAAGACCGAGTCAAAAAAAGCATCTGTTCCTCGATTTAGGTTGTGCCTTGAAACATATGTAGGAACAACAGATGCGGTTGAGGGTAGCATCCGTCAAATACCTATACAGGAAGGTATTTTCGGTTTTGAATATGCCGAAACAATTGCCAAGGAGGATTTGGACCAGATTTTCCAACATTCTGAATTGGACATCGGTGTTATGCATTCCTATATCAGGTAATACTCCGATCAATTTTAATTAAATAATTGAACAATTTATTTGCTCATTTAAATTAATATTCTAATGTTGATTATGTTTTTATTTAAGGTTATTGTATGACAAGATGTTGGTCCCACATGATTTGACTTCAAGATTCGCATTCTTATCTGCTAGCTGTATCAACGCACGATCAATCGATCACACTCCAGATGTAGTCAAAGATTACTTTTTCAAATCATTTATGGTCGCAGATACAGAGAAGTTGTACTTTTTCCCATATAATACTGGCCATGGGTTAGATTTCATTCTAAATTCATTTATTATAATTATTCGTTTTTTTCCATTCTATATAACATTTCCGTCTAAACTTTTGTCTTATTTTACAGTGGACACTGGTTGTTGGTCGCAATTAATCCGATGAAAGAAATCGTGTATTATCTGGATTCATTGGATGGTGATCAAACAAAATATCCTCATATGAAGACTATGGTTGATACGTAAGTGATGAGATATACTGTTCTGAATAATTATCTTTATTTATTATGTGAGACTGTTCTAAATATTCGTTTATATTATGTTAGAGCTATACAAATATTTCGATCGCAAAGAGAAGCAAAAGTGCCAAAAAGGAAGGCTAACAACATTAGCTGGATCAAAGTGCAGGTATATTTTCACATTTTTTTTACTGTTATAGTGATTCTACTTGATAAAATTATTTAAACTATATATCCTGATAAATGATCATTTGTTTTTTCCATTTACAGTGTCCTCGTCAGCGTAATGGAACTGATTGCGGATATTTTGTATTGCGCTTTATGAAGAAAATTATTCACTCGGGTCAAATAGATATTCCAATCATGGTATGGATAAATTCATAAGTTATATGATTTATTTTAATAATTAACCGATATTTCATCTGAGTAATTAGTTTTAAAACTAACTCGTGCATGTTTTGCTATATTATGTAGTACTTTGATGAATTCAAGTGTGGTACTTACTCGAAAGCAGAATTGGAAGAAATTAAGGAGGAATGGTGTCAATACATTCTTGAGTTGAGAATTGTATAAGGTATATGTATCGTCAAATATTGATGCAGGATAATAATATTGAAGTCATATGTATTTGTAAAGTTATCGGTTTTGTAATTATATGTAAACTGACTGTATTTGTGAAGTTGTTCTGAGGATCGACTTGTGTTGAATTATATATAAGCAGGTTTATGTGAATTACAATGATTATATGTAAAGTAACTGTAATTGTTATAAGCAGGTTTATCGAAAAAAATAAATTTTTTTTTATAAACTTGAAGAATAGATAGCGCTTTTAAGTAAAAGCGCTGCTAAAGGGTGGGGGAAGGGGGGAGAAAAGAAAATGCTTTTAGAAAAGCGTTGCTAAAGGGGGGGGGGATATGCAGCGCTTTTCAGAAGCGCTTCTAAAAGGTGGGGGGAGGGGGGAATAGGCAGCGCTTTTGAAAAGCGCTGCTAAAGGGGGTGGAATAGGCAGCGCTTTTCAGAAGCGCTGCTAAAAGGGGGGGGGATGGGGGATTAGGCAGCGCTTTTGAAAAGCACTGCTAAAGGGGGGGAAAAGCGATGTTATAAGTGTTGCTAAAGGGGACCTATAGCAGCGTTTTATCCATAAAAAAAGCGCTGCCTTTACCTTTAGCAGCGCCACTTTAGGCAGCGCTTTTAAGTGCTGCTAAAGGCCAAAAAAAGCGCTGCTAAATGTCTTATTTGGCATAGTGCATGCACACTACAATCCTACAAACTAACATAACCAGACCTAGCAGAGTATCCAGAATCAGAATCTAGGTTGCATTCCACCTTATCCTTACAATCATCCGCAATAATCCAATTTTCCAATTAAAATTTCAAAGTAGTAACATCATTAGGAATATCTTCTCCCTGCATCGAATGAATTCCGAGATTACCCCATCTCCGCTCTCCTTCAAGCCAGCTCCTCATGTTACAAATAGAAGCTCCCTTAAGATAACTCGTCGAAAACAAGTTAGGAAAAGAATCCTGCATAGTTGAATTGTCGGACCATCTCCAATGCTAGAAAGGAACCGACGAACCATCTCCAACTTTCAAGTTGATATGGTTCAGAAACGCAGAAACTGAATTAAAAACCCTGAACTCAGGATTGATTAGGTCATTCCACCAATAAGAACCAGATTTGAAGGTACTACTTCAAAACTACCCATCACTGCAAGTCTGATGTTACCGTGCCTGGATGCTAAGACATCCAACCAAAGATCCGCTTTTTCAGTTAATATCCTCCACTTCCATTTCTGTAAAAGTGAGATGTTGAAAAGATCCATCTTCTTAATCCCAAGTCCTCCAAGGTCGGTAGAACGACAAACTTTGTTCCAAGCTATCCAAACCGTTTTAGGTTGTTTCGTCGAACTACCCCATAGGAACCTATTTTGGATGCGATCTAATTCTTTCCAAACTGTCACCGACATTTTGTAAAAAGACATAAGGAAGATAGAGAGACTACCGATAACATATTTTAACATCGTAATTCTACCTCCAAATGATAAAAGCTTACCTTTCCAATCTGCCAGCATAACCCAAACTTTGTTCACCAAATTAGTCCAAGAAGCGACAAGTCTAGGATTAGAGCCAATAGGTATGCCTAAGAATTCAAAGGACTTTGCCTCAATCCTGCAAGCCAAGAAGGATGCCATTGCTTGCAAAAAGTGTTGGTTTAAGTTGATACCGATTACCCTGCTCCTCGAATAATTTACGCCAAGGCCATACAATAGTTCAAAGCCCCTCAAGATTACTTTGATAGACCAAATATTCTGCAAATTACCATTGCCAATAATAAGGGTGTCCTCCGCGAATTGCACAACATCCACTTTATATGTTTCGCTAAATGAGAAGCCTTCGAACTCACCTATATTAGCAGCCTTTCTAAATAGCCTCGTCAAACCTTCAGTAACCATAACGAAAAGGGAAGAGGATAAATGATCACCCTGTCACAGACCCCTTTCAACATCAAAATCCTTCACGGGACTCCCGTTAACAAGCACCGACATTTGGCTAGAGAAAACTAAAGCTTCCATCCACTTTACCCAAAGTTTTCCAAATCCCATAGCCTTGAATAAAAAGCGAAGGAAATCCTAATTTACCTTTTCGTACGCTTTCTCGAAATCTACCTTAAATAGGAGACATTGTTTGTTCTCCCTAGTAGCAAAATCAACCACTTCGTTTGCTACAAGCACACCATCCAACATCTGCCTCCTAGGGAGAAAAGCATATTGGTTTCTTGATCTCAGTTTATCCAAAACCTTTTTCAAATTCCGAGCCAACAACTTAGAATTTTTTGTGTGTAAACACCCCACCAAACATATCGGTCTGTAATCATCCAGACAAAGAGGATTGGATTTCTTCAGGACCAACATCAAGAAGCTAGAATTAATTAATTTAGATAGCTTCACCTTACTATGGAAGTCCTTGATGAAGCTAGAGATATTATCTTTCATGAAATGCCATCAGTTTTTAATGAAGATAAAATTATATCCATCTAACCCTGGGCTTTTCGAACCATCGCAACCCCAAACCGCCTCCTTAATATCCAAGTTTGAGAATTCGACCTCCAATATACTTGATTCAGCTCCTTATAACGTTTTGAAGAGGCTATCATCCATCAAAGGTCTATCACACTCTGATTTCTGAAATTTAGTCCTAAAATGAGACAAAACCTCCTTTTTGATCTCCCCTACTCCTTCTAATAATCTGTTATCAGTTGTGATCAAATTGATAGAGTTATGTCTTCTCCTACCTTTGATGGTGTTGTGGAAATAAGTAGAATTAACATATCCATCTCTTACATCTCACTTTGGCCTTCTGAATGAGGATCCTCTCTTGAGTGACTAAGTTTCTCCACAAAGAAGAGACGGCTTTGCTTCGTTTGGCCATCAGATCCTTAATCTCTTCTTCCCTGCATCAATCAAGCAACTGTCTATTTCGTTCATAGTCGGTTTGTTTTCCTTCAAATACAAGTTGACTTTACCAAATACTTCCACATTCCACCTTCTAAGGTTGCCTTTCAATAACTTGAGTTTTCCCTTAATCATGTAATCGCTTCTACCTTCCACCTTCAGGCTCTTCCATTCTTTCTCAACAAAACTAATGAAACCCTTATTTTCGAACCATTCGTTGACCACCCTAAATGGTTTGGGACCCCAATCATAATTGTTACAAATTAACTAAATTAGACTATGATCTGATACCTCTCTTTTGCCAATGAGTTGCCCAACTATACTCCATCTTTCTACCAGCGAATCCGACAACAAGAAGCGATCTATTCTACTCATAGATTGAAACATTTGCTTAGGTATAAACAACATTCTTTTTCATAGTTCTATTGTTAATGTAGACGACATAATGAGTTCGGTTAAATTATTTACTTGAAGCTGGTTAATCATAATTAATAAAAAGGTAGATTCTCTTATAACTTTTTCGATTGGTGTATATCTCCCTTGCGTTGTATAAAATCAAGATAAAATGTCTTATTTGTTTGTAAGGGATGGGTATCCCTTGTTGTCTTTTAGTTAATGAATTCCTTACTTATAAAAAAAACTTTGGTTCAAATGAAATTTTTATTTATAAAATTATTCATAATTTTTCTTTTTTATATAAATTTAATTATATTTTTAAATTTGTGTATAATTATCAACCGGTCATATAATTTAGGACAGAGAATACATTTTATAAATTATAATTAGTAGAGTAATTTGAGATTTAATAAATAAAAATATATTAATGAATTAAAATAAGATAATTATTGTTTTATTGATATCTTAAAATTATAATAATTTTCCATAAAAGATAAATATTATAAATGAAATATTTTAATGAGACAAAAAGAGTAGTAATGAAAAAACAAAATGTTAATTTTGTCAAATCAATTTTACTGAATATTTAAGTATTTTTTTATTATCATTAATAGAAAATAATAAAAAAATATTAAATTAAAAGTGATACATATGATATTAATTAAGCAACAAAATTGAAACAAATAGTGTATATAATATTAAAGATTGAAAGTTATATTCATTTTATTTGATTTAATATATGCATCATTGGATTCACTATATAGGACGTGAAAGGAGTAAGATTTTAGGGTAGACATGAAGATAGGATAGGGCACCAAATGTTCTGGCTGGAAACACAAATGAGTATTCACATAATCACATGCAAATATTTCTTAGGACCTTAGGGTAGAATTATTATTCTATTCTAATTCTAATTGGTCCTACCATAACACTACAGTTGAAAATAATGCATAATTGTACCAGAGCATCCATGTACAGTAACTTCATTCGACACGTGGATGTAGCACTATAACTATCATTCTCGTGAAGTTTTGTTAATTAGTGTGTTTAGTTAAAAAATGCATATATATTATCGTTGAAAAAAATTATACTTTATATTAACTGTCATTTTATTCATTAATTGTACGTACTAAATGACAATTTGTGCAATTAATTGTCAAGGAAAGAGGAAATTGTATGCTTACTAAATCACAATTTTACAATGTATGCAAACCTCGTGTCGATTTCAATCAAATCTCAATTATATATGCTTAAATATACTTTTAATTATTGTTTTTATGGCTCAATCTTGAATATTACATAATCATTTATATCAAGACCTGAAATATATGGTAACAACTCTAATTTTAACATCTGCGATTTTAAATTTTGATATTAATAGTTTTGTTAAGAAGGACATCATATTTTTAAAGCATAATATATTTTGCCGAATATTCTTTTTAATAAAAGTATTCGAGATATTTGTGATATATTAGATTGAACTCTAGTATAGTCGAAGGGTAACTTTTTGTTCGACAAGAATTAAGCATGAGGTCGAAGTCTGCTAGTATGCTGCTGCTAGAGTAATGCGTGTTGTAGTCGAAGTTTATTCTAACATGCATTAGTCAATATTGCTAGGTTTATTAACATGTTGAATTGACTTTGTTCTGTAAGCCCAATTGTTTAAGTTAGTTTTTACCCTAAGTTAGCTTGTAATAAGTAATTGTTATAAAGCCCAGTAGGTTAATGTGCTCGTTTTCTTATAATAACATGCTAGTCTTTCATCTTGGCATAAAAGAAAAATAGGAAGATGAAATCCTAATTTCAAGAGAGAGAGGTTATTTTGTTATTCTTGTATACTTGTAATCTTGTTTCTAACAGAAAGAAAAGAATATCAGTTTATAACCAATCTGTATTTCTCCTTGTTGTTTTCCCTTGTTTTCTTTGTTAACCCTAACCCTTGTGTGTTTCTTGGCTATAAAGAAATCGTTTATATTTTGTTTCAAGGCATCCTATTCACAACAAATTGGTGCGGTGAGCGTGGAGAAGATGCCTTCAACAAAGTATGAGATTGAAAAGTTCACTGGAGTGAACGACTTCGATCTGTGGCGCTTGAAGATGAAAGCCCTATTGGTTCAGCAGGGTTGTTTGGAAGCGGTGAAGAGGGAGAGGCAGCCATGGACGTTGTGTTAACGACAAAAGAAAAGATGACCATGATTGAGAACGCCCACAACACAATATTGTTGAGCCCTTGATGATAAGGTTCTTGGATAGGTATCAAAGGAGACTACAACATCAAGGTTATGGGTGAAAACTTGACAGTTTGTGCATGAACAAATCCCTGGTAAATCGACTCTACCTGAAGCAAGCTTTATATTCATTCAAGATGAGTGAAAACAAAGTATTGGCTGAGCAGTTGGATATGTTCAACAAGTTGATTCTTGATCTTGAAAATATTAATGTGAAGATCGATGATGAAGAATCAAATACTATTGTTGTTGTTGTTGTTGTTGTTGTTGTGTGCTTTGTCCATAACACATGCTCACTTAAAAGAAATTCTCTTGTATGGAAGGGAGTCCCTGAGCTTTGAAGAAGTTCAATCAACTTTGTATTCTAAGGACTTGAACGAACGAAAGGAGCATAAACCTTCGACGGTGGGCGAAGGTTTGGCCATTAAGGGAAAATTCTTGCGAAAGGATGGTAAGTTCGACAAGAAGAAAGGTAAAAGTCAGTAGAAGTCTTATAGTGGCGAAAGATCTGGTATTCGATGTTATCACTGTAAGAATGAGGGTCACTCAAGAAAGGTGTGCCCTGAACGCCTGAAAGATCATGGAGGTAAGGATAATGGCAACGCAAGTATTGCTCAAGATGATTTCGACTCATCTGATGTCCTTGTGGTTTCAAGTGGCGACTCAAGAAAAGAGTTGACTATGGATTCAGGTTGCACTTGACACATGACTCCAAACAGAGAATTGTTCGAGGAGCTATGTGATCAAGATGGTGGATTAATGTTGTCGGGAAACAACAAATCTTTCAAAATTATAGGTATTGGATCTATGAGATTCAAGCTCCATGATGAGTCAATAAGGTTATTGACTGAAGTCAAGTATGTACCTGATTTGAAGAGAAAATTGGTTTCTCTGGGTGAATTCGATAGAAAGAGATATGTTTTTCAAGGAGAGAAAAGTATCCTAAGAGTCATGAACGGGTCGAATGAAGTCTTGAGAGACATGAAGAAACAAGGCTTGTATACCCTTGAGGCTGAGGTTGTAAGTGGTTCAACAAATGTTGCATCCACGAAACCTATGTCGAAGACAGAATTATGGCACATGAGATTATGCCATGTCAGCGAAAGAGGCCTAGTC